AGAGGGAAGGCGCCTTTTTGCGCCACCGGCAAGTCGCACCGAATTCATGCGCCTCACACGTGCGGTGGGCGTGAGCACACAAAGCCCTCCGCCGGGGACTCAGAAGAGATGCGCACCCCCGCCCGGTCCCTCGCACCACAGCCGGACGCATACCGGCGGGGCCCACACACAACCCCTGCGGTGCCCGAGCCGCACAACCCGTAAAGGACGCAACGGATTGGCGCCCCATGACCTCCACCAGCGCAGCGCAGCAACCGTCAAAAAATACGGAACCGAAACCCCGCCCCCACCCAACCCCACGCAGCGCCACCGCACCCAGCGCGGTCGCCTCCACCTCCTCCCACTCTGCCGTGCTCAGCGCCATGTTCGCCGCGCCGCCGTAGTAGTCGTACCTCCCCGTCACCTCGCCGCGCCGGATGTCGCACAGCCCGGTGCCCACCCCCACACGCACCCGCAGACCGTCGCAGCGCTGCCGGCACACGGCGGCCTCCAGGCGCGCAGTCAGCGGCACGTACCCCTCCGTCTCCTCCTCCGCCCGGCCCTCCTCGAACTTGCGGCACGCGTCCTCGGGCACACTCGTCCCCCACGCGTGCTGCAGAAACATCTGCTGCAGCTCGCGCACAAGCTGCACGGCGGCAAGCGCACTCTTGCACGCCATCATGAACGAGCCGCTGATCGTCCTCACCCCGTCCGTAGCAGCGGCACTTCGCGATCAGCGCGCGGATCAGCCGGTGGTGCGTCGCCACCGCGTCGGACATCGCCTCAGGGCACGCGGCCCACAGCGCCGTGCTGCTCTCGATGTCTGTAACACGAGCGTCACGGGGTCTGTCGCCTCCTTCGGCGCAGTCGCGTTGCCACGCGAGTCGCAGCAGCAGCACAGGCTTCACCACAACCACCCCCACCACCATGATGGTGAGCAGAAGCACCACGGCAATGACGACGCCGATCAGCTGCGCCATCGCCAACCCGCGCGCAGCGGTCTCCGTGTACTACATCGACGGGGCCCAGCGCCCGAGCAAGCGACCACAGAGATGCGCGTCACCCCGGTGTTCACACCGCACCCAGCACCGCCAACGGCATCACACGCCGCGTCGTCAGCGAAGCCCATCGGCGACAGCGGCGCCCGTTGCGTGACGTTGGGCGATGAACTCCTGAGCGGTCTCCGACGTCGAGTTCACGTCGCCCCAGTGCGGCAGGCTCGTCGCGAACACAACGCGGTCGGCACCCACACCGCCAGCGAACGCAGCGACGAAGCCGGCGTGCAGCAGCACAAACCCGGGGAACGCAACGAACACACGCGCATCCCCGTGCGACGCCACGCCACCGCAACTGCCTCCTCGCCGCGGATCGCCGCAGCGCCGAACGGGCGCTCGTGTTCCCGAGGTGCTCCGCAAGCACGAAGAACTGCTGATCCAGCGTCGGCAGCAGGTGGCCCACGTGCCTGCGGAACCTGTTCAGCCGCGGCTCAAGCTGCAGCGAGCTGATGAAGGCCACACTCCGCACGCCCAGCACCACCCCGTCGCAACACCAAAAACTCCGTGAACACGCCGTCATTGCACCCCCGACCGCAGAGCGCCACGGGCAGCGTCAAGCGCGGCGAAAGAGAAAGAACGGAAACCCCACCACACCTCCAGCATCGCATGTTGCGCAGCACCGCCACCAGCCATCAGAAGGGGCACCCCACCGAACACCTGCGGCAATGAAAGCGTTTGAAACGTTGCAATCTGACAACCGAAACGCCATACGCCCCCCACCGACTGCCTCTGCCCGGTAGCCCTCCACGAAACGTTTCATGTACACCGTGCGGCCGCCCTCGTTGCGGCGGCAGGTGGCACCTTGCGATGCCGCCGCGCCTTTGCACTCCCCACCATACTCCCCAACCACAAGGTCGTCCACCACACACCGGCGCTGGTTGAAGAGAGACGCCATGAACGCCTTGCGGCCACTCACCCCTCTACAATTACTCAGCGCCTGCGCGAGCACCTCGCCGGCAACCCACCCGGCAGCCACCAGCTCCTCGTCGTCGTTGCTAATGAAATGCTCCGTATCCGTACAGTCCGCCTGCCCACTGCTCGCCAGGCAGTCCCGCATCGCCTCCTGGAGGCGCTGAATGGCTTCGTGCCGTGTGGCCTTCGCCAGCGAGTTTCTCCCCGCCGCAGCCAACTGCCAGGACGCCTTCAGCCTCTCTCCTTTTCGTCAATTGTCCTGAATTGGTTCGCTGGCGGCGCGTCAGTCAACATCGTCAAAAAGGCCCTTTGCCGCCATGTGAAATTGCGAAAACAAGCCCCAGCCCACAGCGGGCGTGGGCAAACACCGTAGCGCGCCGTGCTCCCCCCACAACCGCCCGCAGGTCTGGGCCAATGAGTGGGTGCCGGTCCATCACACCACGTCGTGCGGACTGACTCCTCGTTGCGGCGTCCCACCGGCATCCGCCGCGCGCCATGCGGTGGCGGGTGAACCTGCGCGCCAAACATCCGAGACCGACAACTGGTATCCCCGCGGGGCCTTCACCGCGGGGCGAAGCGCGCCTTCTCGGCGGCCGCGCCCTTTGCCCCCACCAAAACGGCGGCAGCGGGAATTCAACGAGCCGGCGCGCCCCAACCGTCTCTCACGCACCGCGCGCTCTCCCCTGCCGCCGGCCCTCCTCTTGCAGAGGAGAGACCCATCTTTTGGGGGGCAAGGGGTTGTCCCGGAAGGCTTCCTCCGCCTCCTTTTGCGGCCCAAGTTTGGCTCCGCAAGAGCGTTTCATCACCGCGTTTGGGCGCAGTGTCTCTTCTGCCGCCTCTTGCGTCCGTGCCGCGCAACAGGAGGCGGGCCCTCCACACCACCGGCCAGCGCATCGCAATAGGGGCGTTCCGCCCTTCGCCTCGGGCCCCGCGCTTCTTCCTTCGCCCCGCAGTGTGCTCGTACGCAAGCAAAGGCCCTTTCCTCGCCAAAACCCTGCACCCACAGCACCCAACAAGAAGCCGCCGGGGAACGCCTTTGGTTGGGAAGGCGCAGCAGCCGGCCGGCGTGCGGTCTCCGGCTCGGGTCCGCACCGAAGGCGGTGGCTCCGAGCACCCCACCGGTGCGTCGCGTCGCGGTGGCAAGCCAAAGAGCGCGTCGCAGCCGCCCGCACCCACGCGAAACCCCCGCTCACAAAAGAGCC